GGGGGGGTCGGGGCGAGGCCTTGTTCCGGGCGCACGTAGTGCAGGCCCGCACATACGTACGGGTCTCCTCTTCGAGGGACGGCCACCAAAAGGTGCGGCGGAGCCAGTCTATAGTCTGCCGGATGCCGGGGTGACCAGAGAACCGGGAGTCGTGGGCCCACCGCAGGACTTGGGAGCGGACAGACGGAGGGACAAACAGACGATTCGGAGGGCCCCCTCCGGGGTCAGGTTGGGTGTGCTGGGCCTCACGTACCACCCTCTCGATTTCCCAGGTGACAGTACCGAGCACGTACGAGGCAGGCAGGATGGTGTCGGGAGTAGAGTCTCCCTCTTCCGGGGCAAACTGACGGGAGAGTGTGTCCGGCTTGGTGTTCTTGTGGCCGGGCCGATAGGTGATGGTGAAATTGAAACGGGCGAAGAACAAGGCCCAGCGGCCCTGGCAAGAATTGAGGCATCTCGCCGTGTGGATATACTCCAGATTACGGTGGTCGGCCCATACGATGAAGGGGAGCACTGATCCCTCCAGCCAGTGCCTCCACTCCTCCAAGGCTAACTTGACAGCCAACAGCTCTCGGTTGCCTACGTCGTAGTTTCTCTCCGCAGGGGAAAGTCTACGGGAGAAGAAAGCACAAGGATGGAGTTTAGAGTCGGAAACTGACCACTGAGACAGTACGGCTCCGACTCCGGTGTCGGAGGCGTCCACCTCGACGACAAACTGGCGTGTCTCGTCTGGGTGGACCAGGATTGGAGCCGAGGTGAACCGATCCTTGAGAGCACAAAAAGCCTTGTCGGCATCTGGGGTCCATGAAAACACCTTGGAGGAGGTGAGTCGCGTCAGTGGTTCTGCCGTTCGGCTGTAGTCCCGGATGAACCATCTGTAGAAGTTGGCAATCCCCAGAAAGTGCTGGAGCTTCTTTCGTGAGGCGGGCACCAGCCACTCCGTTACCGCTTTAACCTTCTCGGGGTCCTTTCTTACCTGACCCTCCTCAATGAAGACGCTCAGGAACTGCACAGAGGAGAAGTGGAATTCAATTCGCACTTCTCAGCCTAAATGAAGAGCTGATTCTCCAACAGTCGTTGCAGAACCTGGCGGACATGGTTAGTGTGCTCCTGGGGATTCGGGGAGAAGATGAGAATGTCGTCAATATACACAAACACAAAACGGTTGAGGAAGTCACGGAGGACGTCATTAACCAGTGCTTGAAAAACGGCAGGGGCATTGGTCAATCCAAACGGCATCACCAGGTATTCAAAGTGTCCCAAGGGTGTGTTAAAGGCCGTCTTCCACTCGTCTCCCTCGCGAATTCGGACCAGATGATACGCGTTGCGGAGGTCCAGCTTGGTGAATATCTTAGCTCCAGCTAAGGATTCGAAAACAGAAGAGATTAGCGGTAATGGATATTTATTTTTGATAGTGATCTGATTCAAAGCTCTGAAATCGATGCAGGGACGGAGGCTCTTGTCCTTCTTGGAGACGAAGAAGAAACCCGCTCCCACAGGTGAAGATGAGGGACGTATGATTCCTGCGGCGACCGACTCCGTTATACATTTCTCCATAGATTCACGTTCTGGTCGGGAGAGATTATATAGCCGACTCGTGGGAAGTGGGGCGCCCGGGAGCAGGTCAATAGCACAGTCGTAGGGGCGATGAGGGGGGAGTGACAGGGCCCACTCCTTGCTGAATGCCTCTCCTAAATCCATATATTCCCGGGGCACGGCGGAGAGGTTAGGACCGGTGTCAGGTCTGCTGGAGGGAAGAGCTTGCTGGGGAACCGCAGATCTGAGGCAGCGAGAGTGACAGGCGGAGCTCCAGCCAGTGATTCTACCCCCAGCCCAATCGATCTGTGGATTGTGATCCTTAAGCCAGGGAAGTCTCAGGACCAGGGGTGTCTGAGGGGTAGGAAACGCGTAGAACCGGGTTTTCTGGCTGTGATTACCGGACACGAGCAGGGAAATTGGCTGAGTCTGGTGTGTTATCTCTGCCAGTGAACTGCCATCCAGTGCGCTCACTAGCTGAGCGCACTCCAACGCTTCTACGGGAATCCCATTACTTCTAATAAACTCGGTGTCCAAAAAGTTCTCTTCAGCCCCTGAATCAATGAGTGCCGACAGGTGCACAGGCCCAGATGATAAACTCAGGGTGGCAGGAAACAGTGCACGAGGCTTAGAATGGGGAATTCTCCCTGAATCGCTCGCCAGCACCCCCACTCTTACTGGCGAGCTCTCTCTTTTGGTCGAACAGAGCAAACGGCCATGCGGTGTCCTGACTCACCACAGTAAAGACAGCTTCCTGAGAGGATGCGTCGCTCTTTCTCCTCCGGAGAGAGATGAGTCTGCCCGAGCTGCAGCGGCTCCTCCGGCTCCAAAGGGGGAGGTGCTGAGGTAGGAGAACGGGAGCGCGCAGAGCTGTACCGTCAGGACGGGCTCGGAAACTGAAGGCTGGGGCTGGAAGCAAACTGACGCACCGGATTGGAAGGCCTGAAGTTCCTCTCCCGACAGCGTTCCCGGATACGGTTATCCATATTGATTGACAGAGTGAAGAGCTCCTCCAATGACTCTGGCTCCTCCCAGACTGCGAGCTCATCCTTCAACACTTCCGAAAGGCTGTGGCGATATATCCCTTTAAGCGCCTCCTTGTCCCAACCGGACTCCGTGGCCAGAATCTGGAAGTCCACAGAGTACTCCGCTGCGCTGGTGGAACCCTGACGAAGACTGAGCAGGCGCTGAACAACGTCCCTGGTGTAAACCGGGTGGTCGAATACCCTCTTGAATTCTTCCAAGAAGAGCTCGTAGGGGATCCGGTTTGGGCTGCGCCTGTTGAGCCAAGCCTCCGCCCAGACCAGAGCCTTGCCGCGCAGCAACCGCACCGTAAAGGCCACCTTCGCATTGTCCGAAGCAAATGTGCGGGGTTGCTGGTTAAAAACAAATCCACACTGGAGCATGAACCCTCTACATTCCCCGGACGCTCCATTATAGGGCACCGGTGAGGGAACAAAGGACTCACGGGTGCTGGATGAGTCCTCAGGGACCGGCTCCGAGGGAGGAGAATGGCGTAGCGTGAAGTCCTGCATCGGGCTTCCTATCTCCGCTACCTGGGACCCGATATATCGCTGCGAGTCCACTAGGACCCTCAGAACCTGATGGTGTTGCCCGAGGAGCGCGCCCTGGTTGGCCATTGCCCTCTGCAGCTGATCCGCAGAAGGAGATTCTGCTGCGGTGGCTGGGTCCAACATGGTCAGTCCGTTCTGTGGTAGTGTAGTTAGTGGACCCAAACGCACGCACACAGCAGGTTTACTCCAGCCAAGACTTTATTTAACTGTGCAGGAGGAGTCACAGAAAGAACAAACAAAAAACAAAGACTAACTGTCCAGCAAATTAAAGTCACTCCTATAATCTCCACCGGAGTCGGGAGGGAAGCTCAACCGCACTCAAAACTGAAGGAACAGAAAACAAACAGGTAACAATCTTCACTGAAATGGATGTTCAGACTTACGTGACCAGAGTGGTAACCGGACGGACTGACGACGCACCGGTGAAACGCCGAGGTATTTAAGTCAGCCAGCGGCAATCACTGGAATGAGCCACAGCTGAGCCTAAGGAGAGAGGCGTGAAGTGGGCGGAACACGGGGGTGGAAACTGTAGGCTGACACAAAAACAAAACATAAGCACATGGCCCACAATAACAAAAAAGACAGGGGGAAAAACAGAGGAGCACAAACGAGGAGCAGACAGGGATCCTAACACAAGGTCCATTATAAATATAAATATGACAGATTTGAAGAGTATATGTATGCCTTCCACCATCTAATTCTATCTGTGGGACGTTGTAGATGTTTTATCGTAGTGACTATTAAAAGGCTGTATATTAGAAGTGAATGTAGTCACCAATTGGTTTGTGGACTGCCATTTTAAAGGCTCGTGTTTGAACCAGAAGTGACAAGAGAGGGTGGAGCTAAGTACAACTGAACGCTAAATAAGACATTTTTAGGCGACCAAAATGTTACAATTAACGTTCCGGAATGAAAACACTGAAAGGTCAAAGTTCTAATTATGGAAAACTCTCACTACTACCAGACAGGACAACGCTCTGGTAGCGACCTGTCAATCACAAGTTAGCCACGCCCTAAAGTATACTCTGCTTTATGGTCCGTTTTACTCTAAATGGACCATAATTTACTAAATAAACATCATGCTGTGCTTGAAACTAGCGATAGAGACCATAGGGTCATTTTCTCATAGACTTCTACACAATGGGTATTACTCATCATGTTGTAACCCAATCTTCCAAAAACAATCTGGACATTGTAATGGGAAAATATGTTGACCTTGATTCCAGAACTGAATGTCCGCAGAAACAGACAGCTTGTGTCTGAAATACCATACTCCCCTTTTGACACATTATCTGAAGTTGTAAATGCGTGAACCTTTGTATGCATAAATGATGTTGAATATTGCACTTCGTCGAAGCATTCACACAGTCTACTGAATACGTAGCTGTTGTGTTTCCTTCCCTCTTGCAAGAGAATAAACTTCCTAGTTTAGCCTGATAACAGCTAACAACAGGTTAGCTTGAATTAGTTAAGCCTCATTCGAAAACCAAGGCCCAGGACTTTTACACCGAAGACAAGTTCACATGGTTAGGGTGAGGCTGCATTCACACCAATTTAAGTGTTGCGATGAAAACGCCAGTACTCCAATTCATTTCAATGTAGGTAGTGCATTTAACTTGGAGGGGAGGCCAGAAAAAACAAAACAAAAAAAATGCAGCAGCCTTTGGCAAAAGGTTCAAACAGAATGGACTTTTTTAGAATCGCAACCTGAGGTCATGCTGCAGCGGCCAATCACGTAACTGGCAATCCAGAGCGGTGCAACCCAGCCATGAAGGAACAAGAGACGTTAATCCTAAATGGGCTATTTATACAATTTACTCCCACACCGCAGCACAACCCTGAGAAACGCATGATATGACATGTTTCAAGTCAGCATTGTACTTTTACCATAGCCTGCATCTTTCCTTTACCATTACCAGGTGCCCCGAGGTTTTAAACCTTGTATAATGCTTTGGTTGGTGCATCGCAAATATTGTTGGGGAACAAACAAAAAATGTTGCCAGTGAATGTTTTTTTCAGATCCATTCAGTATGAGCAACTTTTCAGATACATTCATTATAGTTTCCTCATTATGCTGATAAAAATAATGTAATCGTTGCTGTATTGAATTTCTCTCAAATCATTATATTTGCTGTTTGCAAATTGGAAGTAACATGATTTCTACGACAGAATTGGTTGTGTCCACTCAAATCTGCAGCTATGTTCCACCAGTATTTACATTTAGCTTTGTCTTAATATGTGCTTAGACTAAAGGTAAGGCGTGACCGTCTGGGAATTTTTACTCCACATCTGTATTCATTGCCAAGCTGCATTACAAAGCATATTGATATGAACTTAAACTAATAGCTTCTTGGAAGGTAGAAAATCAATCTGAACACGCAGATTACCAGTTGGGTCCTTTAAATAAATCAGAGTGAAACACCATACATGTTTCCATAGCAGGTGGAACTGTCTTTAAATGAGATCGGACACTGATGGTCAATACGTGACATTCAATAAAAAGACACGGCAGACTCATTTCAGTGTATCCCTAATGTGTGTGTAACATGTATCAATGCATGTCTGCACACACCTAAAGCTCAAGTGCTTGCCTGCACTGACTGCTCGTAGAAATTAAATTTTGAAAAGACTGACCTGAAGTCAGTGAGGCATGACCATTTACGCTGAAACCTTGTTTCTTTAAGACAGGACTGACACTAATCAGCTAAGCTATTTTTGACCAATCTCCTCATTCTGATATCAAAGACATCCCGACTCTGATGGAAGATCCCTGCTTAATTATCTCACACACACACACACACACAAATAATTCAATTGACTGACGCGATCAGGTTAATGGATGTATAAATGTGTTAGATATGATTCATTTACCAAGTCGGATGAACGTCTGTTGGAATTATTCGATATTCCACAGTGCACTGCAAGAATGTAACCCTAATGCAAATCTGTAGCCCCGGAGCCGGTCAGACAATTCTGTAATAGTGGTGTGGAGAAACAGACACAGCCAAGAAGCCATATCAAGTCAATATAGCAGAAACTGCCAATCAGTAGAAATCGTCGCTGCCACAACTCTTCAAACAAGCTGAATACACCTGGAGAACTGACAGGGCTGCACTTAAAGAAAGAGTTGGACAGCAAATATAAATCAGAAACTTAGGGACAAATATAAAGGGCACATTCAATTAAAACTATTGGGTTTATTAATGGTTTATGCACTATTTACTAATGATTTATATATTAGTTATAAACTAAATTTAAAGGGTTGGATTGGCACAACATATTTCACAGGCTTCCACGGTTCCTATAAGATAAATAGTAATGACATGAAGTGTGTTTTGGACATTCAATTGTAATAACTTTACTAAAAATCCCTGGTTTTCATCTTCCTTCAGCATCACAATGGTGTCAGCTAGCTGCTTTTACTCATCAGATAGACTAGTAGACCATTAGGCCACTTACTTGCCCGATGCTGCAGAGAATGTGGACCAAAATCCATTCATTGACACCCTGTTAACATTTACAACTGCAGACTTGACATGTATTGTACAAGCCTTCATTCAGGACCTATCTCACATTAAGGGTATAGATGTGGACATGATGATGATGTCCTGGGCCTGTGTTGACTTACTAACATAACTGCAGACTTTGTGGTTCATTATAAAGTAAGAAACCGAGGAGCATTTATTCATGAGTTACCAACATTTAGAACTAATTATTACAAAGTTAAGGATTAACACCAACTAAATGGATTCTCCCAACACGTAAACGCAAAACTTGTGTTATGCTTCCAACTGATCTATGAAATGTATGTAAATGGTTTATTACACATTACCAAAGCCATTGCTTCAAATTACAAACATTCTACAGATGATGCTTTGGTCGAATTTGGTTCCAAGATTTTGATTGAATGTATAAATAAAAGCTAATACACTGGTTTATTTCTGATTGGCCCTCTGTACATTCATACATTTTGTAAACAATAACTCCCCATCACGATCCTTTGTTGTACAGAAAGCAAATCACTAAATCTGTCCCCTTAAAAATCTGGATATTACATTTTTCTTCACTACAGGCAAACATTGAATACATTCTCAAACATTAGCAGGTTTCCACTCAAATGTAGCGCACATTTAAAGGGAATTTAGAGCAAATCAGCAGAGGGAAATGCGATTATTAACAGTTGGTTCATCAGATTCTATTTAAATCACGGAAGAATTGAATGACTGAATGCTTGCCAGTCAAACTTCAAATGGTTAAAAACAATGTAGAAAATGTTGGGAATGACGGCATTTATGTTTGTTTCATGGATTAATGTGAGGAAGTTTACAGTCTCTTCATCGCTCCACACCAAACTGATGTTTTCATCCTGCCGCAATTTTCCGTCTCTTCAGTAGAGACAAGCGATAAAAGGTTGGAGATCTCTCTGGGATTTCCGCTCCTTTTCATGTGCATTTTCAATTTGTGCATAAAACAAGTGGATGAAATCTAAACAAGTGTAATGTCTAGCACCTATTTTTAATTGTTGGTGTCCCTACAATTCTTTATTTTAACAATCATTCAGCTTCGCATTGTGTTCCTCTTGTTTGCTCACGTCTACTGCTGTTATTCAACAAACTAATGCCAATCCCAACCCCGTCCTTTGATTGCTCATTTTTCAGTCCACTATCAAAAATGTTTTTAACTGTGCTCCAAAGGTAGCATGAGCTATGAACATATAAGTAACAGCAGCTCTGGTGGCAGATTCTGAATGGGTCTGCTTGAAACACCATGAGTGAAGCTCTCTGTGACATTGATTCTAAAATGATGTTATATACAAGCCACATGCCTGCTTGTAATTTGAGATTAAAGTGAAAGGATGTTTTGCCAATACCACAAAGACGACCAAGTTACTGCCGGGTTGATTGAAAGCTTTTTGATGTGCATACTCTGAGATACAGATACCCAGCCACATGGCAGATTTGTGTGACAGGATCAAAGGGAAGGGGCAGAATCAAAAGGCAGCGTGTTTTGAGGCTCAACCCTCGACGGCAACCTCTTCAGGAAAGCAAAGAAAGATGAACTCAAAACCAGTGTCTGTCTCTCCAGCGGCTCTGCTTCATCCCCTCTTTTATTGCCACGTCTTCAGCTGACACAGACAAACTTAAGGATTGCTCATGTGTGTGTTTACGAAAGCCTCCTCTCCCGTCCTCCGGTCTGATCTCAGGCCATTCTATCAGCACTGCTTCCCTTTGAAAACAACCTTCAGCCTGCAGAGGAGAGAGAGAGAAAGAAAAAAAAACACCTCTGGGCAGTGAAATTGCCTTGTCACACAAAAAAGGAGTCATTATTGAGATAAATCACCCCATTCTATTCCATAACTAAACTCTGCTATTCCATGGCACCTGCCATCCAGGCTGAGCTATCGTATGTGCTCTGCAGACTGAAGCTCTGTCTGCTTGGAGGATTCAGTACTGTCTCTGGTAGCTTTTGTCTGGCAGTGTAACCCACGCAGGGAAATTTTCATAGAACAGGTAAAGCCAAAAGCTAAAACAGTGACTGTTTAAAACAGTGAAATATGCTGCAGGTGTCACGACACCTGCCAGCTCCTAACATTCATTCTGTAGTCTGCTCTGTTTACTCTGCCATACGCTAACTCTCCCTGTCGTTGCAGAGCCAGCCACTCCCTCCTGCCCTGCAGTACCACTTTCACACTTATTTCCATCGCCAGACCTTCCCCACCCACTTCCACCCACTCACCTGCTTCCCATTTCCTTAATGAGCCTAGTGATATATACACTGGCCTACTTTGCATCCGTCCTTGGTTTCTAGCCATGCCCTGATCCACGGATATATGATTCCATGCCTCACCCTGTTTTGGAATGGAAAAGTTTGCCTTTTATGAAATATAACCTGGTTTTTACTCCTGCCTGCCTTAACATGTCTGTTATTGAGTGGTGCACCTGGGTTCAGGTTTCAGCCATTACAATTGGAAAATGGAAAAAAGGAGAATTAGGTTAATTTCCATCAACTCGTTTGGAGCAAATAAACTCAGCTACGGTGTATTTGGTCAGAAGAGTGTGATATAAGGTACACTCTGCCGTAATCTCCCGGTAAAAAGGGGCAAAGAAGTAAAACAAGTTGGCTTGGACATCTAATATACAAGAGAAAAATGGAGAGCGTTATTCAATAATTTGAGTTACATGTTTGCTATCTGACAAAGGTGTTTCCATAATCCATTTAGTGCATCAAGTGTTTTTCAATGAAGGCATAAAAATATCTCAAGCAAGCGTAAATACTTTTTTGCGCCATTGAGTATGTTTGATCAAATTTTTACGTTTTGATAGAACTTTTCTAATGTTGTATTTTAAAATGCACATACAAATATATTGAAAGAAACACGGCTAGTGTCTGAATGTTGTGTACCAAGATGCTCGTTACATTTATTTTTCCATGCCCGAAAGGCTGGATAGGCTTATGAAAGAGTGTCAGATTAATACAATTGTCATTGTGAAAATGTGTTCACTCCCATGTTCTTAAAGTGCCATGAACACACCTCTGTGGGCTCCAATAATGTCGTTTCCCCCTCACGCCAACATTTATGGCAGCCCTTGAAGCTCAATGCATTGCAAAACAAAAGCAAATGAAGATAACAGCTTCATCAGCTTCACAACACAGGCACATTTACAGTATTAAAAAAACCTCTGCAAAGTGATACATAAAAATAAAAAAGTGTGCAGAAAACTCATCTAAATGCAGAAAACACAAACAGATACAGACATGCTGCAAGGTGTCCATCACCATTGATGATACCGTGGTGACGCCAACTCGGGCTGCGAGGAATCTGCAAACATTGCATCGGTTACACGCTCCTGCAGATTCCTGCACTACAACATCAGGAGGATTCGCCCCTTCCTCACTGACAAGACTGCGCAGGTGCTCATCCAGGCTCTGGTCATCTCCCGCCTGGACTACTACAACTCACTACTTGTCGGAGCCCCGGCGTCGGCCATCAGACCTCTGGAGCTTGTCCAGAAAGCTGCAGCTTGTCTGGTGTTCAATCGCCCCAAGTTCTCCCACACAACTTCCCTTCTCCGTTCTCTACACTGGCTACCTGTAACAGCTCGCATCCAGTTTAAGACTCTGGTGCTAGCCTACAGGGCAGTGAAAGGAACAGCTCCTTCCTACCTCCAGGCCATGGTCAAGCCCTACACCCCTGCCCGACCACTTCGCTCTGCTGCCTCGGGGCGATTGGTTGCCCCGGCGCTCAGAGGTCCCTGTGGCCGATTGACCCGGTCACGGCTTTTTTCTGTCCTGGCCCCACAGTGGTGGAATGAACTCCCCACTGACGTCAGGACAGCAGAGTCGCTGCCCATCTTTCATCAGGCTGAAAACTCACCTCTTCAAGAAGTACTACGCTGAGCCTTCCACTCAGCACTTATTGTATTCATATTAGTTTGTTGCACTTATTGTATTAGTTTGTTTCTGCACTGCACTCTTGCTCTGGTTTATGCTCTTAGATGATTGTGTAAACAAGGAGATGCACTTATGACTTCTGATGATTAGTTCTCTTGAATTCCATGTTGAATACACTTTTTCACAATTATAAGTCGCTTTGGATATAAGCGTCTGCTAAATGACTGTAATGTAATGCATTTCTAATCAACCATTGTGTAGCCTAATTCCAATGAAATCAAAGCAGGCCTGCCACAATTTCATCATGAACTAAAACATTTTGCCACTTCTTAACTGTTGGGGTCCACCTAGTCTGCTCGAGGGATTCAACTCGACAGGTCAGGGACGGCTGGTTGCATTTCCTCCAGTACGCCGCCACCGTCTCTAGGTCGGCTCGGAAACGCAGACCTACACTACACGACTAAAAGCCCGCTGTGTATCCGTTAGTACTCTGGAGATTAGACAGCAGGGACGTTTTTAGGGCATATGAGAGTTAGGCGGTCAAGTCAAGCCACCGGCTAGAGAGGCAACAAACGGGACTGTTTAAAGTCGCTGACATCCATTACACGCATTTCATGGTAAAGGAAAATGTACAGCTGATGACTTTATTGTTACATTGTTAGGCTCCCTCATGAAAGCCAAGTCAGATTCCAACATCAGATCGCTGTTATCATTCATCACTGCTATTAACAAATGTGCGGCTAATGTGTCAGTGCTTAATGCCTCTGAGATGCCAGAGCACACCAATATGTTATCCTATTGATTCCAATTAACGACAACACCGCGCTGCTCCAAAGCAAGCTAGCTAATGGTAACACACAGTAATAATGTGGAGCAGTTAGCAGCGTGACACTTCATCTTTATCTTCCTCGCCCTGCAGAGCACTTCGTGTCATCACACAAACAAGATTGTGCGATCAACAGTATGACGGCCCTGTCTCTTCTTCGGTAGCATGTGTGTGGATTGGCAGGGACAAAGTCAACCATTAGATGTTGTTTTTTTGACGGAACACAGAGGATGTGTTATCTGTGTTTGTTCTCTGTCACAGCTTTGGCCTCAGGAAGGCAAACACTGGCAGCGGTCTGGCTCGAAACGTAACGCTGTGTGAGAAGGGAGGTGGAACACAGTGCTCTGCTTTCATTAGCTCACAAAAGTTGATGGGAGATTCTGCGAGGATTTGTTGTTTGATTGCATATGGATTTCAGCCAGGTGTTAGTGAATGAATCCATGTATATTATGATGCCATCACCGCCACAATAAAACACCAATACAACCATTTGTCACATAATTTGATGCAGCCTGTAGCTCCAACATGTGGGCAGAATGTAACAGTGTTGAGCTCATCCAGCAGCCTCTGCTGTTTAAATGACTGTCTAGACTATGATGAATTAAGAGGCAAAGGTACAGCGCTCTGACAGTTTAGGGACAGGAAGGGGGTTGCTAGCCAACCGGCTGAGGCCAGGGTCTTCATGCTCTTACCTATCACACTCGATCTCTCTCCACTCTCTAATTGGAGCAGCCTCTTTAATTGGGTTTGGAAACCACAGAGACGGCCGCTCCGTCTGGGATCTGATCAGCTGAAAGAGACACCTTCAACAGGGGAGATGACGCTGAGTGAAGTGGCCTTGGCTGTGCAGTGACTGAGAAGTATCGTCGCACACACATTCCTGCACTACAGCTAGTGAATAACACAAGTTTTCAAAAGTTTTAAAAAACATATCAGAACAGCAGTTTGAAACATATTTCAGACAACAGCTTGTACTGTGGGCGGAAGGATTATTATCAATCCAGGGTCTATTTACATGCAGCTTCAAGTGACGGTTAGTCAAGTCTTTATTTTATGGTATCAAGCAACCTGGAATGTGGAGTTTGCAAGCTTTAAATATATAATGAAACACCTTAGCTAAAATATATACCCTGAAAGGCTAAATGTAAAAAAAATTAAATAATAAATACATGCTGTATAGTTTTTTTTTGGCCTAATTTTCTGATTATGTTGATGGCTCACCCTAAATCCTCCACACTGGCTCTTTGAATACTGCAATTAAATACTGTATCTTGTGTAATCACTTTCTTTTTTCTGGAGCTTCTAAAACATGGCTGTTTATAAAACGGGGTAGGTCTTATGAAGGATGCTGTTCAGTTGCATTATCATAAACTGTTGAGTTGCATTATCATAAACAACGTTCATAAACAACGTTCTCTTCTTTTATAGTTTTCTCTTGTAAATACTGCTATCCACACATTTTGTTGATGTTTTTTGAGGGAAATCAAATCTTGGTCCTTCCAGAACACCTTCCAGCCGTGTAGTTTTTTACACACCTATGTCTGGCATAGTGGGCTGTTTTTTTTGATAAGGGTATCTCATGCTAGCAGTTTTAAGAAGCAACTGTCTGAGTGTGTGACATCAAATGGGGATATGCTTTGATTGACAGATGACTAGCAGCCGTGGTGCTTATCCCTCCTCTGGATTCCTCCCTCTTTGACCACATTGGATTTTTGCGGCTACAGTAACTGATGAAGACAGCGGTGAGCTACAAATCTAAACCCCAGGCTTCAAAACATCCCTTCACAAACCTGCAAGGGATGTTTTTCTACACTCTTTGTTTGGAATTCTAAATTACAGTTGTGATTTCTTATTTTTTTGCATGTTTGTCACACTTAAATGTTTCAGATCATCAAACAAATTTAAATATTAGACAAAGATAACACAAGTAAACACAAAATGCAGTTTTTAAATGAAGGTTTTTATTATTAAGGGGGGGAAAAAATCCAAACCTACATGGCCCTGTGTGAAAAAGTGATTGCCCCCCCCTGTTAAAACATAAATTAACTGTGGTTTATCACATCTTTGGAAAGCTGAGTTCAATTTCTCTAGCCACACCCAGGCCTGATTACTGCCACACCTGTTCTCAATCAAGAAATCACTTAAATAGGACCTGCCTGACAAAGTGAGGTAGACCAAAAGATCCTCAAAAGCTAGACATCATGCTGCGATCCAAAGAAATTCAGGAACAAATGAGAAACAAAGTAATTGAGATCTATCAGTCTGGAAAATGTTACAAAGCCATTTCTAAAGCTTTGGGACTCCAGCGAACCACAGTTAGAGCCATTATCCACAAATGGCGAAAACATGGAACAGTGGTGAACCTTCCCAGGAGTGGCCGGCCGACCAAAATTACCCCAAGAGCGCAGCGACGACTCATCCAAGAGGTCAAAAAAGACCCCAGAACAACATCCAAAGAACTGCAGGCCTCACTTGCCTCAATTAAGGTCAG